ATAAGATGAGTTGAATTCTAGTGCTTTCAGTCTGTCTGTAAAGATGTACAAAGTGGCTGTCATGGACAAGCCTGATTCTAATGTTACAGGTACTATGCTAATAACAAACATCACACTGTGTGTGTCCTCATGTGACCAGATTGCAGGAGACAGTCTTTCCTCTCTGCATTTTTGCATTTTGTGTTGTATTGTGACTCTCTCTTAAAACATCGTCACCATGTGGTCTGCTTCACTTGGAGGTAAACATAGTTTCATACAGAGATAAATGGGGCAGAGGAAATATGAATGTTTGTTCCGAATGCTTTTGATTGACTAATATATGCACCGTGGTGACAACAAAAAAGGCTGGCATGCACGTTTCACAAATGTGACGGTAATTTTGCATTTGATTTTTGTGCAGGGTAAAAATATTTAGTTTTTCTCCAAAGTTGAAGTGATGAGCCCTTCATTTGCGTTTCAGAATATCACTGACTGAGAGTTGGGTTGCAGAGTGTATTATATTGTGTGATAGATAAGATGGAGTGAATTCTAGTGTTTTTAGTCTGTCTGTAAAGATGTACAAAGTGACTGCCATGGACATTTCTCCACGTATTTTTTCTTGTTGTCTGTTAGTGTTTTTCAAACTTTTTGTTTACTTGAGCAACAGTGAGTATCAGCCTAAGTGTTTCTTTCTATTTAATTAATCATTATTTTGAAAGATCATGACTTATGTGGAAACACTTCCTCCTTGGACCTCAGACACTGTTATTCCATTTTCTACAGTGAAACTTTCTCCTAAATTCTTGTCTTAGAGGTGCAGGCTTCTCTCTTAAAACATCGTCACCACGTGCTCTGCTTCACTTGGAGGTAAACATAGTTTTGTACACAGAGAAATGGGGGTGAGGAAATGGTAAATGGCCTGCATTTGTATAGCGCTTTTCTAGTCCCTAAGGACCCCATAGCACTTCACACTACATTCACTCATTCACACACAGGCGATGGCAAGCTACATTGTAGCCACAGCTGCCTTGGGGCGCACTGACAGAGGCGAGGCTGCCGGACAC